CCAATTCTGAAATTCCACCCTTCAGTACAGCATATATAAGCAGAATCCTCCAATACAGTATTAGATATCTAAGAAGCGGTCTGATAGATTATATTGTAGAAACCGCTGGGGCAAGCCCTTCCGATATATTTTTTTCATCGAAGTAAGGACAGTAGAAGTTTGTTTTATGTTTAAAATAAACATTCGTGTATTCGTGTCTACGTTGCCAATAATAAACGTATTTGAAGGTTGATGAGTGAAAATCTTGAATTTCTCCAACCTAAACATTGTGGTATTTTTTACATTGCATGCACTTCTCTACGGACATTCAAATCTAAGCAAGGAATTATAGAAAGCTGTTCAGGGCAATATGTTATAATTATGGAAATAATTTAGCTAATTCTGTGAAAAAATAGCACAAATGTGATAGTGTACTGGGATAAGGCGCATAAATTATGAAAAAAAGGCATCTCCTCATCGTGCAAATGAAAGTTGCTGATGGCTTGCACCATCTTTCGCAATAAACATAAACTATTCGTTGAATTTTAATTATTCAGAATTGGCCAAAAATTGGCCACGTACGCGTTTCGGGCTGTTGACCCTCATCAGCGTGGTGCAAGCTGTACCTCAACGACCAAAAAACTGGTCATTCAGGCATCCTGAAAAATCATGAAACGGGTAGTTATGACCAGAAGTGCGTGAGATCGCTAAATTATACTGGGATAAGGTGCATAAATGAAGAAAGAAAAATACATCTCCTTATCGTACAACTAGTGTTATACACTAGTATTATTAGTATTACACTTGTATAGTGCAACTGACGCGATGGCTATAAGAAGATGCCTTTTTTTATTAGCCATTTTTGAAATTAAAAATATGTGAGAAGTTATAATCTGATAATTATCAGACATGTATAGCATTTCCTATAGAAGTTTATAAAAATATCAACGATTTTTTTAATTTTTATGTAGTTAATTTATAAAATATAAAGTAAAATATTTTTAACATTTAAAATAGTTTGTTTACTTTGGAATCCCAAATTATATAAAAACATTAATACGTTGTACCAAATAGTATTTAAATATAAGTGATTTATAAAAGTGATTTACGAAACATTAATTATCCTTTTAAAATCTGTACACACTTGTTCTCAGAAATTCTTGTTTCGAAAGTGTTTCCTTCTCTTACATTCGACTAATTTGTTCCAGTACAAGCGTAGCTTTAAATCTTATTTCTCTCTCTCTCTCGTAGATTTCAAAATTTAAGACTTCAGGAATTTATGGCTAGAGTTTTGCGAACACCTATTTTACAAGTAGCTTTGTATCAATGAGTTATGTGAAGTACACAGGCTGAGGTCTCCTCAGCAAGAAAAAAGTTTAAAAAGTTAACTTCTTACAATAGACATCATCAAAAATATGACAAAGTCAGTGACATCAATGACTTGGGAAACTCTGTCAATATTTTCCTTGTTGTATAAATTATTCGACCTTGACAGTCTCCTTTATTTGATAAAGTTCATTGTTCTATAAAATAATCTCTTGAATCAATATTAAAATAAAAAATTAAGCCTCCAGGGAAAATAATCTTTTAGAAAAAATTGTATTTATTATAAATTTTTTAAAGTGATAATCCTGTTGAAGGACTGACAAGTCCGAAAGCTGGAAAATAAAAAGTTGCACAAGAAATGTAACCCTGGAAGCTTTAGTTATTTTATAAAAACAATGGTTGCCTGTAAAGTCGGTTTTACGGGCGAAGAATTTACGTGACAACGGTAGAATATTTATTGATATGAATATAATTAAATTGCACAATAGGAACAAGGAATTGTAAATGATGAAGTTGAAAATTAAAACATTTACTTATATTAGATGTTAAAATTCTTGCTCAACACAGTTTAAATAAAGTTTTCTTATATCTGCCACTTTTTCTTAATATTTGTAATTTTAAATAATCAATTCGAAAATCAAAACATTTATTCAGATCGAAGGTTCAAATTTTTGCTAAATATATTTGAAACTATTTAAAATTTGTAAAATAATAATTAATTAATTAATTAAATTTAAACTAATAATTTACTTAACACTATCAACATTTATCAATAGTATGACATAACCTATAAACTCAGTTTCTCAACTTTTGTGTCAATCTAACAATTAATCAATCAATCATAGTTTACGATAATGAAATATCAGTGTACAATTATTTACCTTTATTGTTGTAGTTGTTGTAAATGACGAATCTAAGCACTCCACATTTTCACTACAGACACAGCTGACGATACTTTAACCACACGTGTGAACTTGTATTATGACGCTTTCTTGTTTTTCCAACGCCAAGAACGTTCGAGAAAGACAAAGACCGAGACAAGCATGCGCCGATTCAATGCGCCTAATTCTCTAGCGCTGCGCGCGCAGCACTCTCGTTCGGTGACTCATCGTAACGTTACCGGGCGTTACACTTTTTCACAAGTGACTCCCAGCCGCAACCTAATTTAAGACGTTGTCACGTCAATATTTTTTATTTAATATATTTTACATCATTAATACACCAATAAAATAAGATTTAAAATTAAATAAAGTCCTTTAGTTGTTAACATTTGTTTCAAGGCATAATCAACGCGGGCTTCTGTTGCGCGTGCTTCACTTGGGGGTTATTATATTAGTGATTATGTTGATTATGCCTTGAAATATAAATGTAAACAACCAAAGGACTTTATTTAATTTTAAATCTTATTTTATGGCGTATTAATGATGTAAAATATTTTCTCCCGTAGAAAGGCTTTCTTGCCCGAAAGCTCGAGAAATTTTTAAATAAAGAATATTTTTAAAAGAATCTTTCCCTGGAGGCTTAATGTTTTTATTTTTAGTTCATTGTATTTCTTATTATATCGTCACAGAGTCATTTTTTTTTTTCTGGTCAAATACAAGGTTGTCCCAAAAGTTATTAAACACTTGCAAAAAATTGAAATACCAATATTATTCGCCGTTATGTATAATATATTTGTATTATGTATAAAGTAATTGTATTATGTATTATTATCGTAAAGATAGAGGCTGCCTGGCCGGTATTCATAGTTCTTCAAATTGAAGACTTCTCCAGGCCAGTAAATCTTTTTTATCGTCTCGACGTTTCGACAAAAATCTTTTGTCCTCGTTAGTAGCGAACAAAAGATTTTTGTCGAAACGTCGAGACAATAAAAAAGATTTACTGGCCGAAGTGTCTTTAATTTAAAGAACTATGTATTATTTTGTATTCGCCGTAATAATATTATTCGCCAAGTAATAAGAAAAACAACGTTTTAAGAAAAACACGAACTTTTGGGACAACCTTAAATATTGTAACAAAGTATTTATTATTTTATTAGCAGAGTATTATTTTTTATGTTTATATTTTGCTATACTCTGTACACTTCCCTCTTTGCTTATATTTTGTTTATCACTCATAGTTTGCTTTTTTTGCCAAAAATAAATTGATGTCTCATCCCGAAGTTGGTCTTCCCTAATTTTCCACGTGGCATTTTGGTGGAGATGCTGGGTAAATTAGGGGAGACAAACTGAAGATCGCCGAAAAGACCTGGATGCCATGGGTGCTGTGATCTACATTTTGGGAGACTGGCATCAAGATTCCACCGCCATGTCAAAGCCAAGACTTCCCTCCAAAATGACGATGTCCCTATAGACGATATGACGACAAAGCCGCTCTTCACGCCGCAAGAAAAAGGACGCAAAGGTACTAGGGACAAAGTTCCAAGACTTCGATGGAAGACTTGGCAGAAGCACTTCAGATCCTTGTCAGTAACTACAATAATTGATAGCTGTGGGTCACAGCTCCCATAGGGAAGAAGCTATGTAACAAAGTATTTATTATTTTATTAGCAGAGTATTATTTTTTATGTTTATATTTTGCTATACTCTGTACACTTCCCTCTTTTGCTTATCTTTTGTTTATCACTCATAGTTTGTTTTTTTGCCAAAAATAAATTGTTGTCTCATCCCGAAGTTGGTCTTCCCTAATTTTCCACGTGGCAATATCTTGTAGCACCTCCGATACGCATACAAAATATTTTTATCATTTGGTTCATTATGTTCAGATTTTTTCGTACAGTTTTTAGGAACAGTATTTTGGTTTTAACGGCATCTCAACTCTTTCATAGTTCTTTCACCCCCTGAGCTTATGTTCATAGTTCCTTAAAATAATTTTGTCAAGAAATCTCCCTCGAGTGCTGAGTATATAATAGGATAAACCTAATACACTATTATAGAGCGATATTAAAGCTTAAACTGGCGAAACCTTTGGAAGGGTTCACTATTGATGAGCCAGGCCCTCCAAATATTTTTCCATCGTAAAATAAGCAAAAAATATTGTTTTATATATGAAAATAAGAATTCGTGATAAAATTAGTTTCAATATTCATATACAGAAGGTACGCAAACTAATCATATCAGTCAATAAATGTCATTAGCACCAATTAGAATCATTTAGAAAAGGAGATCCTGTATGGAATGGCTTGTAACTAACTCCCACATTATTACAGTGGCGTCCATTTTATTCATTCCATGCTACAGTAGAAGCAATGAAATCAATTAATCTTCAAAGGTATAGACCTAAACTTCCAGAATATATTAAGAAAACAAAAAACATCTCCTTATCGTGCAACTGAAAGTTTCTGATGGCTTGCGCCATCTACCGGAATAAATATAAACTATTCGTTAATTTTTAATTATTCCAGAATTGGCCAAATACCCATTCTTGATTAATTAAGAAAAGCTAACCAATTCTAGAATAATTAAAAATCAACGAATAGTTGATATTTATTCCGGTAGATGGCGCAAGCCATCAGAATCTTTCAGTTGCATGATAAGGAGATGCCCTTTTTATTTTATTTATTTATGCACCTTTTCCCAGTAAGATATCATATTTATACTATTGTTTCACATTGTTTCGCGTCCTCACGCAATTCTGACCTTAACTACCCGTTTCGTGATTCTTCAGGATGCCTGAAAGCCCAGTTGAGGTATAGAACCCAGATGAACTTCGGTGGTTCGGGGTGCAGGCTTCAAACCTGTAGCCGTTTAAAAGCGGAGTGGGGTTCGATTCCACCTTCTGGGCGCCTTATTTTGGGCTTAAAAATCATACACTTTGGTTAGTAGCCCGTAAAACCATACGCTCTCTCTCTCGTTGAGGTAAACAAGATAGAAGTCGGTGGACGAGTGGTTAAAACTCTCGATTCCCGACAGCCATGAACTGGGATACCTTGAAAAATATTCCAGAGTATATCTCAACAAGGGTATTCCCAATGCGGCCGAGCCATGCTGCACCCGACAATATCGTATAGACTTCTAACATACTTTAAGATTGGTTTGTAACGTAGGCTACTCCTCTCACCTGCTGTTGAGGTTTTACCGAATGGACAAAGGTACCTACCTCTTGTCTGCCAGGACTTGCTCCAGGTCATCCGTGCTGTGAACCTGGACGGATGGAGGAAGCAGCCTCCGTCTGACATCCTCTAGCCGAGTTGGGTCGGTGTCCAGACAATAGAGCAGGTTGGCCTTCGGCGTCTTTAGCAGGTTGAGAAGGTGGATGATCCCAATTCTGCCAAGGCCAATGAGTGCTATGCCGACTTTGCTGTCCCAGCCTAGGCTAGCTTCGCCGCTTAGCAGCTGCAAGTACCTGCACAACGTCTCTTAAATACAAGCGTTGTTTTGACAAAAGTATTAAATTAAGAAAAAGGCATCTACTTATCGTGCAACTAAAAGTTGCTGATGGCTTGCGCCATCTATCGGAATAAATATCAAATATTCTCGTTGATTTTTAATTATTCTAGAATTGGTCAAATATTCTGAAATAATTAAAAATCAACGAAAAGAGTTGATATTTATTCCGATAGATGGCGCAAGCCATCAGCAACTTTCAACTGCACGATGAGGAGATGCCTTTTTTTAATTTATGAACCTTATCCCAGTACAATGTCACATTTGTACTATTTTTTCAAAAAGTATTAAAGTCATACACTCACGGATATTCAGGCACAAAGAAGGCAACATCGAAATTCATTTATTTATTACTAGAGAGGTCTGTTGTGGAAGACGGGTCTACATTACTTGAACGGGTGTTTTCCAATACGGAATATATTGTAACGTAGAAAATTAGGAAAGACCAACTTCAGGATTCACGGCAATTTATTTTAGGCTACAAACAAAATCAACATCTATAAGATACAAGTTAAGTAATGAAGGAAGTTTCCAGAGTAGCAAAATATAAATAATATAAATATCAAACAATTAACAATCTGTACATAAAATCTAATAAATACTTTGCTACAATATTGTGGCATTGCGGCAACTAATGTGTCAGCTGGGCGCACACGTGTGGAACAGGTCCGAAGAACGGGTAGGCGACCTGAAGTCTAAACATCACGTATGATTCTTGCAGTAAGTGACTGGGCATTATATTGCTGGGAAATCGCCTTGGGAATCCTAAAGATGAAGAGGAGAAAACGAAGTAATTGAAGGTCATCCATATTTATTCCGATAGATGGCGCAAGCCATCAGCAACTTTCAGTTGTACGATAAGGAGATGCCTTTTTTTTTATTATAAACGCGCATGATTCTTTTAAAAATTAAACAATTTCCATTTCCATTGCAGAGTAAGGGCAGTAGAAATTGTTTATATTTTAAAAGAATCATACGCGTCTATAATAGTTTCGAATTTTCATAATTGATTGTATGTATAATACAATATCTAATATGCTATAGTTTTCTTTATTTTGATTTGAGTTCAAATTAAAATTTGTATGCTTATTATTCTCTATATATACAACAACAACAGAAAGTTTTATTAAGACCTTTCTGTCTTATACAGATTCTCCGAGTAGAAATGTAGGATACATGCAGGAGAGTAACAGTAATAGTACCAGTAATAAAAATTGCTATTATTATTTTTAAAGCTAATCACATAAAGGTAATATGAAATTTATATACAGGAAAGCTTAATTAAGACAATCAAGCTAATAAATATGTTTAAAAATCTGGGTAAAAATCCGAGGAAAAGAGAAAAGATATAATATATAAAATATAAATAAAAAAAATATATTGGAATTTATATATGATACATAAGCCTTTAGTAAGATTTTTTTGTCCTAATAAAGATTCCTCAGCTAACGAATGAAGGTTATAAGAATTTGAGGTTAACCTTTTACAGTACTTCCAGAAAGCGAAATATGTGAGAAATTAAGGCAAGGATAGAAGAAATATTTCAAGCATGTTAGGTCTTGTTGAATTATTTTGGTAACAGCTCTGAGACAATCGAACAATCTCCTTGTACCATCGCCGAGACCGACAGATGTCAGATAACAGTTGTAGGATTTTCCAAGAGAATTTCCCTTCTGTAAAAGACTGACAGTCGAGATAATGAGACAATTCTGTAAGGACGTTTTGTTTATGCACAAACTCCGCCTTTGCCGGTCCCAAGCCTTGATGAAAAAGGAGGAGGGGAGCAGTAACAAGCTTGCTAAAAAACCTGGGTTCAGCTGGCCCGGCTGATAGTACCCTGTAAGGGCTCCTAATCTAGGGATACAGGATGTGCATCGTTTCTACTCCATGTTAGGAGCGGCTGCACATGGCGTCTGTTCCTCATGTCAGAGACGGCCATTTCTTTTGGAGCTAAGTCGGCCTGCCACTAAGTAGTGCTCCCAGTCTTAATGACAAAGGCAGACGCATTCTACTTCATCCAGTAATTTTGGTTGTCAAACAGACACCATCAAGGGTCACAATACCCTAATATGATTGAGTGGAGATAAGAAATAATAAGAAGAAGTTTATACACAGATGGAAAGATGGGAAAATTTGGCTTGTCAGAGACAAAGCCGGGAACGATATAGGCTAACAAGCCCTTGCGTCCCCTGTACTCTGCTTCTAGATTTTCAATATTTATTTTTTTGATTAAAATCAGCGCGAAAAGAAAACCCCTAGATCAAGCCCCGCAAAGAAACAACGAAGTGTAGATAAGGTTTGCCCCAGAGACGGTTTCTTTAGTCTTTCCAAATATGATACAATGAATTATATAATTAATATTTACATTCAATAAGAAACTATATATAGTTTAAGAAAGAAGAAAAGAAAATAAAAGAAAAAAAAGAACAGAAAAAAAACAAAAAAAAAAAAACAAGAACAAAATAGATGAATAAATAAAGAAAAAGAAGAAAAGGAAATTTAACTATTAGTATTTTTTTTTTCCAAATATTTAACTAAATCTATATACAACAAAGAAAATAAATCTTATAGAGAATAAATATGAGAGATTTAATATATAAATAATAAAGATTAATAGTTATAAGAAAGAATTAATAAAAAAAAATAATAATTAGACATATATATAACATAAATATTACTGATTAAATATTTTTTATAGAATCATAAATCATTTGGCAAAATAACTCCAGTTCTGATTTATAAGTATAAATAATATGGGGAAGATTAGGATGTAAAGTTTTTAAAAAATTGGGGCGTGTATTATTAAAAAATGTACAAGAAAATATTAAATGAACATGATCTGGTGACGACAGTGAACAAAGACAGGGGGAGGGAATTTTAATATTGAACCTATTATAGTAGGAAAGGGACCATGACCTGTAAGAAAATAATTTAAATAACCATTACCTAATATTTTTTTATTATTTACAAATCTCAACCATTTATAAAGATACCTACCATTAATTGATTGATCCCAAACAATCTGCCATAAACCAAGAATTTCTTTTTTATAAAATATTTTCATATAAGATTTAGGTATTGGAATGGGTTGGTACGGGGCTGGATATAGATATGCTTCTTTGGCCAGCTTGTCGGCTTGTTCATTTCCTAAAGTACCTATATGGGATTTAATCCAATAAAACTTGATTGATTTATTTTTTTTGCCTAATAATAGTAATTAAGAATTTAGTTCTCATTGTTGTCCAAGTCTTAGATGATGGGCTATTGAGGGCTAAAAGAGATGATAAACTATCGGAAGCAATATTTACAGAATTAAATTTATTATTATCGTCGAACCATTCTAGAGCCTTAAAAATTGCAATATTTTCTGCTTGGAAAACACTATTATAATAGAATAATATATAAGATTTTTCATATATAAAAATATTTTCATAGAATGCACACCATCCCGCACCAACACCATTTTCAGATTTAGAACCGTCCGTATAAATTATCAAATCATTAGTAGATGGAAGTTCCTTTGTAAAATTAATAATTCCATAGTCAGCAGGATCACAAAAATAGTTTAGGGAGGGGATATCTATAACATTACTATTAGGTCCTATTTTTAAAATATTCATTGGCCTATTAAGAGAAGTTATTTTCGATTCAAAATTTAAAACCAATTCTATCGGTATCAATCCCGAAAGAAATAATGCTGCATCAGTGCTTAAAGTATTGTATCCCCAACAAATAGCCAAAGCAAAAGGTCTCTGAGTAGATCTTAAAATTTTGATTAAAGATTTATTATTATTCCTATTCCCCCACCAAACCTTTGCACCATAAACAATAGCCCTTTCAAAACCTGCTAAATAGATTCTTTTGATAACAGCTGGGGATAAACCCCAGTTTAATGTTGATATTTTCCGTATTTCCCTACCCTTTTTACCCATCTTATTCTTAACATACTTATACACTCTTATACACAGATAACATACATCATAATTGGGTCCCACCTCCTGGCATACGTCATAATTGGGTTCCATCTCCTGGCATAGGTCATAATTGGGTCCCACCTCCTTGCATACGTCATAATTGGGTCCCACCTCCTGGCATACGTCATAATTGGGTCCCACCTCCTGGCATACGTCATAATTGGGTCCCACCTCCTGGCATACGTCATAATTGGGTCCCACTTCCTGGCATACGTCATAATTGGGTCCCACCTCCTGGCATACGTCATAATTGGGTCCCAACTCCTGGCATACGTCATAATTGGGTCCCAACTCCTGGCATACGTCATAATTGGGTCCCACCTCTTGGCATACGTCATAATTGGGTCCCACCTCCTGGCATACGTCATAATTGGGTCCCACCTCCTGGCATACGTCATAATTGGGTCCCGCCTCCTGGCATACGT